TAATCATTCCCGTTTGGTGAAATATAAATTTTGTAAAACAAGTTTAAGGCCCATCTGTTTAGTTAGGAATCTGCCTAATGATTTGAGAGGAGCAGTGATCTTAAACCTTCAAATTAACTAACAAATATAAATAATTGATATCTTCTCATTTAGTATTTATCCTAAAGCCAAAAAATGAAACATTAGTAAAATTTGGGAATAAAACAGGGGAAAAGGCTAAATAAAAACATTATTTTCAGCATCTTTTCCCAAATGGATAAAAAAATACTTAGTATTTTCCTGGGAGCAAAAATCTTGTCTTTTAGAAATCTTGAATTTTTTGAACTGAATTACTTTTCGAAATTCTTTTCATTAGAACTATAAGCAATAGTCCTGATATTTTATATATATATATATATATATATATATATATATATATATATATATATATATACCATGCTCCAGAATAATCTAGTTTGCTTTTTAATATGTGCGATTATTTTGAAAAAATGTAAAATGGAGATTCTGTGTTTACATTTAATAGTGTCCCTATACTCAAAGATAAATTATTTTAAAATGAATAAAAATTTATAAAAATATAATATGGAAAAACTTCCTCATATAAATCAGTATAAATATCAGTCACAATAAATTTTATGGAAAACATCACAACAAGTAACATTAGAGAAAAAAATAAGAAAAATAATTTTTTCAGAATTTGAAGAAGCATGTTTCAACCTCAGCACTATTGACAGTCTGGGCTGGGGAATTCCTTGTGGTGGAGCTGTCTTATACACTGTAGGATGTTTGGCAGCATCTCTGGCCTCTACCCACTAGACACTGATAGCTCCCTTCCCTTTGTTCTAGCAAGCAAAATATTTCCAGGCATGGCCAAATATCATCTGGGGAGCAAATAAATACAAATACCAATAAAGAGCCACTCTGACTTACAGGGAAGTCATACTAATTAGGCAAAAAATACTAACTTTGAGATAATGTTAATAAAAACTCTAATATTAATAAAACTTTTTATAAACTTTAGGATAATATTAATAAAAATATTCATAATTATATTGACTTCTATGGATAGCTGGGTTTGAATCCTGTTCATGTATATTTAAGAATATTAATAAATTATTAAGTACATTAAAATATGCATACATAAGGAAAAATCAACATGGTTTGCGTGGACTTTCTTTTGTGCAACCTAGAAACACTTTTCAAGAGTGTGTGTAAGTCCCTTGACGTTTATAAAATTTGGGGTCAGGAAGGCTAATAAGTGAAGTCCTGTTGGACTGAGTCAGGATAAGCCAGATACAGTAAAGGACAGGCTGACAGGCCAGCAGCTAGCTCACATATCCTGGCTTCCTGCTACACCTCCAGACTTGGTGATTTGAACTAGGAATGTTAATTTATTAATTGTTCCTTAATGTATACTCTTCCTCTATTTGCAAGGTTTTTTCCTCTTTTAACAGAATTGTCCATCCTGCTCAGATAAAGTCCTGAGAAGGAGAAAGGTGGGATTGTCAAGGAAAGAATTTTGGAAAATCAGCCATCTGTCAAGAAAGGGAAACAGGTTCTTTTTGACCTAGAATGCAGGTGCAAAACTAGCCATTAAGTATGTCACATGTGAGCCCAAGACAAAGGCTGAACTTCAGCTCATAGAAGATGATGCTCTTGGACACTGTAAATAGAGACCCAAACAGAATTCTTTGGGGGAAGATTAAAAATAATTCAGGATGGCGAAGAAACCAAATCTCACTAAAGGATGAAACCAGACTTGATGGCTGGACTTGTGGGGTACACCTGTAATCCCAGTGGCTCAGAGGCAGAGGCAAGAGGATCATGAGTTCAAAGCCAGCCTCAGCAAATTAGCGAGGTGCTAAGCAACTCAGTGAGACCCTGTCTCTAATAAAATACAAAATAGGGCTCAGGATGTGGCTGAGTGGTTGGTTGAGTGCCTCTGAGTTCAATCCCTGGTAACCACCCCCCCACACACCTAAAAAAAAAAATCAAAGTAAACAGAACAGAGAAAGAAGACCTGCACAGAGTAGATTTATAGGGACCAGAGCCAAAAAGAACTCAAAAAGGATCAGAGCCATCTGTACAGGATAAATTGAAGCCCACAGAAGAATATTTGAGAGGTATCTAGAAAAATAGTCTAGTTATTCACTGAATGCGAGTCTCCAGCAACACCAAGACAGCTATAACATGTAAGTTTAAGTTGTCTTTAATCAAAAGACAGGGCCAGTTGTTCTATACCCAGGGAATGAATGGGGAGCAGCCACTAAGAAAAGAACACAGCACAAACAGAATAGGTGGTCTGAGGAGCAAGCTAAACTCTAGAAGCTCTCCTTGGACAACCTCAGAGCAGAAAAGCAAGGGCTATGTTCATTTAGGTTGTAATGGAGGCAGAGAAAACAGTATCAATACCTCTTCTATTTCTAGAAAATTTCTGGCTTCCTCAGTGTTAAGTATTGGCAGTTTATCTTGGTTTGTTTGTTTACATCTGTATTTTAATTTGTATTAGAATAGGAGAGGAGCATAGAGGTAGGCCAATTAATTGCATGGAGGAAACGGTAGAAAGCAGCTGAATGTTTACAGAGAGAGAAAAAAAAACATAAGATGTTTCACTAGCTGGATATTTGTGAATAAGAAATGCACATTTAGTAAGAAACTCAGTAATAACCAATTTTGATGAATGCTATTTAATAAAATTACCAGAAGAAGAAAAGACAAAAGGTTCAAGATTGTTGGATTAAGAAAAAACGCTTGAATAAATAAATCATCAATCACATCTAATAAAATACAAAATAGGGCTTGGAAGTTACTTCTTTGGTAAATGGTTATGATAAGGTATGATAGTTTGGGTGTTTAAAGTCCCACATACAGGTTTGGTCCCTCAGCTTTCTGTCACTGTAACAAAATACCTGAGACAATCAACTTATAAAGGACAAGGTTTATTTTGGCTCTTAGTTTTGGAGGTTCCAGTCCAAAATTGGTTGGCCCTCACCTGGGGGCACTACCGGGAGGTGGTTAAACCTTCAAAAGGTGGTGCCTGTGAGAGACTTTAAAGTCATAGGAGGTATGCCCTGGAAGGGTATTGTGGATCCCAACCCTTTCCTCATTCTCTCTTTTGCTCCCTGGCCATGAAATGAGTGGTTTTGCTCTACCATGCAGTCCTACCATTATGTTCCACCTAACCACAGGCCCAAAGTGAGGGTCAACCAATTATGGACTGGAACCTCCAAAACTATGAGCCCAAATAAACCTTGTCTCTTTATAAGTTGATTGTCTCAGATTTTTTGGCATAGTGACAGAAAGCCAATACTTCAAGTCACCAGTGATAAATCTCAAGGACTAACCCCCATGTCTCACACTGAGGTTACCAAATCATTTAATCTTTCATGATCTCCCATGTTTCTCATTCAGGATTTCTGTTAATTAAAGAGGCACAGGTTCAGAGAAAATAATGAGGACAGAGGATGGTAGGTAACTAATAGGCCATGATTTTTAGGCACAGAGGTCTTTAAGTGACACTGTTATATGCACTGGTAATACATTCTTGTCAGAACCAAAGTGCACTCCAGTGGGGTAAGGCACCTCTAGGATTACTCATCAAGTAATAATTAATTACTAGAAAGAAATATTAATTGAATTTCATATGTAATAGAAAACTAGGTTTCTAGAGCCTATTCCTGTTCAATCAACATGTATACAATTCAAAGGCAATATCAGTTGGAAAATGAAAAAATAAACCTTCACCTGGCACTGTCTTTGGTACATTTTCAGTTCTTGTAAGAGCTTCTGATTTTCATCTTGTAATTTACTCCTGCTTAATGCTATTTCACTCACAGCTGATTTTAATTTTTCAATAATGAATTCATCTCTTTCAGTGGTTTCACAACTGGTATCTGATTCACATAACAAGTTAGGAATTTCAGAGCTGCTGCCTTCTATGCTCTGTTTTTTACCATTTAGCTGAGTTTGATAATTTTGTGCCTGTTTCTGAAAAATATGAAAACTGAGTAAATTAAGGGAAGAATATTATATTTAAGTTTACATAAAGTTAAAGAGTGAAAGAGAAGAACTAGTAAAATATCTGTAAATACATTAGTAGACAGTGATGCTTGGCTTGTATAATGCAGTATTTAAGGTTGTTCTAAAATTTTAATTTCAGATGGTATACAGAGAAAGTATATTTGTATAAACTTGAGACAAAATTGTAGAGTAGAAAAGGAGCTAGAGGTAGAGAACTCTTAATAAGCACGAAAAACACTAAATAAAACAAAAATGGGATAATAGAATAAAATTATCAATGCCTATAACAAAGTTTAATGATCTCTAATATATAAAATTCTACACATATTGATAAGGAAAAGACAACATTAAAAAAAATGAACCAAGCAAGAATAGGTATTCCAGAAGAGAAAGTTTTAAAACCTATGATATAAATGAAGAGATGCTCATCCTTACACGTATCTAGGGAAATGCTAAACAAATCAAACAGTCTTAGATATTCTTAAGTACCTGCCCATATGCATTTGAGATATGCCATTTTATGATATAATAACAATGGAATTTTTATTAGCATCATTCTTTCAGACATGTAGACTAAACTCACCATTATATCTAGTTCATGTACTGTTGCTGTAGTCACCATTGGATTTAATCTGGTTATATCTCTTTGGTTCTGTATGTAAATAGATCACATGCTGAGTGGCACAGGTACCAATATTTAGTCTCAAATATCTTCTAATTTAGATAATTTACCTGAAATTGATTACACTTCTCAGATAATAATTTTTGTTGAGCATCTAAAGAAACCAGATGAGTCTGATACAATATCTCTTGTTTGTCCCATTCTCTTGACTTTGCTCTGAATTCCTTTAAAAAAAGGTAAGAGAAAAATCATAAATTGAAGAATATGATTCATTTATAGCACAAAAATGAGTAGGGCTTCTTTCATTTGTACATCTTAATTCTGAGAAAAAAAGTTAAGTCTGCTCTTTATCTATTAGAAAATGAAGAAGAAGAAGGAGAAGGAGAAGGAGGAGAAGGAGAAGAAGAAGAAGAAGAAACAGTAACAAATCACTGATGATGTTGGATTTATTATTACAGGTTAAGTATTCCTTATCTGAAAATGCTTGGGTCCATAGTGTTTCAGATTTAAGATTTTGGAATATTTGTATATATTTAAAGAGATATATTGGGGATGAGACCCAAGTTGAAACACCAAATTCATTTGTTTCATATATACCTTATCTACATAGCCTGAGGGTAATTTAATACTCTTGGTATGCCTGTGCTCTGACTGCAACTTATCATAAGACATCAGGCATGGAATTTTCCACTTGTGGTATCATGACGGTGCTCATGAAGTTTTGGGTTTTAGAGCACTGGATATTTAAGATTTTCAGATTAGGGATGCTCAACCTTTATATCCTAATTTTTGCTAAGAAAATATGGAATCTGTAACAATCCTTGTATAAAAACATTAAACATTTTATTTATTAAAATATAAATCTCTCTGATAACGTATGATGATTTTTAATAAGGGAGTTTCCAACAACTTTTTGCATCAACTAGTACTTTCTGACACAGTAAGTTTTTTCCTTCTTTCATCCCCTAAACTCAGTCCCTGAATGGACCTTGTTGTTTAATAGTGTGCAGCTTGGGCTTAGTGACTGCCATGGACTAAATATTTGTGTCTTCAAATCTATATGTTAAAATCTAATGTGCACTGTAATGAAATGTGGAGGTGGGGGCTTATAGAGGTAATTAAGTTATGATGTTGAAGTCAACATGAATGAGATTAATTTCCTTGTAATAAGAGATATGAAAAACTGCCTTTCTTTCTTCTGCACCAGTAGAGAGCCATTTCTGAGCCAGAAGGAGGGCCCTTACCAGAATTTGACCATGCTAGCACTTAGCAAATTAGGATTGTTACAAATTCCATACTTTCTTAGCAAATTTGACCATGACCTTGGGCTTCTAGTTTTCAAGAACTGTGAGATACAGGTTTGTTGTTTAAACAGTCTAGTATATGGCGTTCTTTTATAGCAGCCTGAACTTAGACTGTGACTTTATCCCTTTGTAACTTCCAAATCTACTGTTCAAGGTGAAGCCAAAATCATTCTTGGGGACAGAAAAACCATTTCAGGCCTTAGATAATACCAACTGGGCTACCTGGAAAAGTAATAGTGGAAGTAGTTTAATAAACAAAAAGTAATGCATAATTATCTGTTCACAACATGAGCAAAGGATAAGACTTTGGAACTGCCATGACTTTTCAATTTTACCTAGGACTGGCCATTATATCTTATCTTTCTTTCTAGCTTTTAAACAACTTAAGGCTAAGGACTGTGTATTTTATTACTTTTGTGCTTCTCACAGTGCCAGGTACCATTTATATTTCATAATGTACAAACAAAAGCATAGTAGTAACACTTCCTAGAATTAAACATTTCTCACTAAGAGTTGCAAAGAAAATAAGATGGTTGAAAACAAACTCTAGAACTACTAAGCCCATGGCTATATATTTTTGCATGTACCTGGCATGAGTGTGTATTAATGTTCCCAACCATCGATATTTGTTAACAAATATCAGTAATATTTGTTAAGCACCTAACATCTATCTACCAGGTATATGGAGAGAAGAGAATTGAAACTATTTTATGATTAAATTTTTTTTGAAGAAAAAAGACAAGAAATGGTAAGGTAAGAAAATGTACACTTAAGCAAGTGATTTTACAGTATGACAAGTACAATAAATATTGTCACATAAAAACTATCCCTTAATATTTAAAATTGGAACATAGCTCATTTAGACCTAGTAATCTGTACTGTTCTAAAGATGGCTGAATTTATTGGATTGGCTATGCTGAAAAATAAACATGCTAATTCTGAGAATGAGAGCTATATCTTACTGAAAATAAAAATATGGCAATTCATATTTTTCTACATAGAAATTATTTAAAAGAACATTTGAGGACATTTTTATTTTATAAATTCATAAGCCCCCAAATAATCAGTTAAAGAAACCTATAAGTTAGGAAGCTTTTACAATAGTTAAAGGTGATCTGAAATTAAGTGATGGTATAAGGCCTGAGAAATATGAATAGATACCCCTCCTAAATATTTAGAAATGCCTTATGAGCATAGAGTGTCTGACTAGGTTAAAGGGAGAAAGTTTATTTAAAGCTTTTGACTTTGATTCTGATACTCAACAATATAAAAATTCAGTCCAGGAAAACAACAGTCTTTAGTAATAGTGACCGATTTTCAAAATTAGGCGCTAGTAGAATATAGGTAACATTTTAAAATCAATGCAATCTAGGTTTTAAATTTTTTTCTTGGTTTTAACTTAAAAAGGCATCTTTGGGGTAACCATTGATCAAGGTTGACTTAAGCAGGTTGACTTTAAGATAATATAAAGACTTAATATGGCCTACCCAATCTCAAGTAATGTTGAGAATAAAGATTCCCAACATGCTTGAGGGAGAGGCAGGGGAATTAATTTTAATTCCTTATGAATGGTACAAAATGCAAAAATTGAGCCTAAGAATGGCTATAAAAGTATGTTACTGATGTATGAGCGGGTTCCTTCGTCATACAGATGTGTTGCTTTCAGCCAACAATATAAACAATGGTGTAAAATCATGCAGAGTCCTAGAGAACTTTCCTCAGGTTTTTGTAGAGATGGGAGATGCTGCTGTCAGCTTAAAAACATCTGTAGCCTTGCCTAGACATTCATGATCAGTTTTCCATGGGTCTTTATGGTTGAAGATGGGTCAGGATCATTAAATTAGTTTCTAGAGATAGCTGTTATTACATTTTTAAAAGCCCTCTATGAGATGGTTAATAGTGATTACTACTTGTCAGGGACTTTATAAACCTCCACCTGTAAGATGGTTTTTACCTTTTATTAGAATTTTTTTTGTACTGGGGGTTGAATATAGGGGCACTTAACCACCAAGTCACATCCCAGCCCTTTTTAAAATGGTTTATTTTGAGACAGGGTCTCACCAAGTTGCTTATGGCCTTGCTAAGTTACTAAGGCTGGCTTTGAACTCATAATCATCCTGCCTCAGCCTCCAAAGCCACTGGAATTATAGGCATGTGCCCAACTCCAGGCAAAGGAAAATTTTCATACTCACATAAAAGTAGAGAGTAAAACAAACTGCTCTGTAGTCTTCACCCAGTTTAACTACCACCGACGTACTCTATATTTCTACAATTTCTCCACCTTTTCCTTGTGAGTGTTTTAAGGCAACTTTATAACCTCATGTATTTTAACTCCTAAAAGCTTCAGTGTGCATCTAAATATATATGTGGATGTATATTTATATTTATATGTGTGTGTATATATGCATAAACATATATATATATATATATATATATATTTATATTTACAATGACCACAATATCACCTATCATGTATTTTTAAGCCTCATTTGTTGATGAAACAATAGAATCTCCATGAGGCTAATAACTTGTGAACTCACAGGTGAATAAATGAGTCGGTCTGGCATGATTTAAGTTATAAACTAACATATTCCTCCACTAGTACATGCTGCTCTCTATTGATATTACTAGAGCAATGTATAAATCTTTATCCTAAAGGAATAACAGGCTTACTATAGACTAAAACTGAAATAGCCCATATCCTACCTGTTAATTTTTCAAATGGCTACTAGTAAAAGCATCTGTATGAATTGTTTTTGTAATTATGTAAGTTAAACTATATCTACATAGTATGCTTAAAATTTTTATATAAGTATAAACATATCAAAAGATATTTTGCTATTAATTTCCACTATAATTTCATGAGATTTAGTTTATTATATAATCCAGTAAATATAAAATGAGTACACAAAAAGTACTTGATATTAACGTAAGGCTTTTTTTTTTTTTTGTCAAAATGGATAAGAATGTAGTTCTCTACCAAAGCCCATGAAAAGTCAGTCAAATGCATAATCAGTGACTTGATCTCCATTTTCAGTGAAAGAACATATGTACTAAAGAGCATATCTTTGGGTATCTTCTATGAGACCAGGATAATTTTGAGGCCATCTGGCTCTACCTGTATTAGAGCCATAGAGTAAGTACTACATTGTACTTTTTCCTAGAGGGATAACTCACTTAGTGATAGTAATTTTATATTTGAAGAACTGTATATTATCCAATAAGATATGAAATTTGCAGACATTTTAAGGACGAAATCCAGAACTTTCTACAAAGTTCTTGCAACAGGCAAAGCTTTTAGGCTGTGATCACAGACCTTATTTTTCTTTGCTCTTGAAGCTATGCTGGCGATTTAGAGGAAGGCTGTATTTCTACTTGTTCCATGACTTAGGATTCAAGTAGCAGGAGTAATGCTCCTTGGTAGGTAGATGAAAGAGGGATTTCATGAAAATTCAATATTAGACAGAGTATCTTAGAGAATCCAAATTTTGTTTACATTATACAAAAAAGAAAGAGTACACTGGAGCCGAGCTGATTACAGCATTGGCAGCTGTAGCAGTGCTGGTTCACCACAGAGGGAGGGTAAACACAGACAGAAAATAAGATTTGGTACAGAAAAATCTGACACCAGAAAAGAGGTTGAACTTAACAGACTCAGAGGCTGCACCGTGCACTAGTACCTTAAAAGTGTTCTCTTTCCCAACTGACCATGGAGAGTGAGGTGGGAGACACCTTGAAGCAGCCACACTGCACCTGCTGCTGCTGTCGGGCCAGGGCAATCATAGCAAACACTACCATATTGTCCTGGCAAGTACCTAACATGTGGCCTAGGGTGTACCTAACAAAAGCAGGAGTCAAATAGGCACAGAGATTGTACCCAAGGGAGATTCTAGTTGGAAAGTTGAAAGGGAGCCCAACTGGCTTCTCCTTGGAGTCTGGTGGTTCACATGACTGGATGAAGTAGGTTGAGACTCTGAACAGGTGGGTTTGAATACTCTCAGGAACTAAGTTCAGGAAGGCTACATTCCTGGGCAGAAGAGTATATGGAAGATTGGTGTCCCTGCTGTAAGAGCAGAATTCTTGAGAGGCTCCTAAGATCCAGACTCCAGACAGATCTGCAACTGCCAGGCCCTAGGGGTGTATTGATTTAATCT